GACTAGTTTCGACCTTTCTCAAGGGTCCTCATCAGGTAGCTTCAGCTCTGCATTGTCTTAATACTGAAAGTAGATTTGAAATGAAATCTTATTTATAAAGAAATCTTCCAAAATCTATCGAACAGTTTTAAGTTCAAAGCAAGCAGAGAATTTCTTTTTTTCAACTGGGTGTGTATCATGAAAAAGAAAGCCACGACTAGTTTCTTTGGATGTTTTATAAAATATGTTGTATGTTAAATTTGTTGATGAGAATATTTTTTTTTTGGTCTGATGAAACAATGATTAAAAATTTACAAGCTGAAAGAGATAGATACATGGTTATAAAGTGTGACACGGTTTTACATGAGATTGTTGTGCAGATCTGTTAGAGAGTTCAATTGTGTGGGTTTTCGTTTGTTGTTTATTGGCTGTCGATGGATGATTAGTTGACGTGAATGTCGGCGAGAAAATCAGATGGTGGCTTCTTTTTGACAAGTCGTCGTTCTAATGATGGATTGTTGGTGGTGCCTATGGTGAGACGAACGTTTTTCAAGAGAGATTCACGATGAACATAGTATTTCTCCCAAAGTTGATGGAATTCTCGCCGGTATTTGATGATTGGGCCACTTTCATACTTGTAGTGTAGAATTAATCGTTGACGATCCCAGATTTTTGTTTTAGGAATATATTGATCGATAGTTGAATTGACTGGAAGTTGTTTTATCTCATTTCTTGTCGATTGATAGAGAAGTTTGCGGTGCAATTGTTGATAAGTATTGTCATCTAAGTATTTCCAAACGTTCATGGCTTTGTTTGCTTCGAAGAATCGTTTGAAATGAAGATTGATGAAAGACAATGGGTAGCCACTCATGATTAATGTTAATTCAAAATTGAATCGTTCATGATCGAAATGATAGACGTCGGAGGAAAAGCGAACAGCACGAAGTAGACCGCAATAAATAGTATTTCGATGTGTATAACGTGGATGATCCGATGAAAATGGTAATACACACGATTCAGCAGCTGGTTTATGGAATACGGATGTTATTAATTTTTGATCTTTATTTTCGATGGCGACATCGAGAAAATCGACGGCTGATTGCACTGCATATGTAATTTTGATATTTGGATCTTTGTTATTGGCCTCATCTAATCGTTTGATGATATCTGCACGGGATAAGTTGGTTGTCATGAAAACATCATCAATATATCTAAAATATAAAATGAAACCTATTGATTGAATGAACCTTCTAATCTGTAACATACCGGCCATAGAGTTCCTTATCAGATTCTTGATCTTCAATTAATTTTTGTTCCCAGTCTAACATGTAAATATTGGCCAACACCATTGTGAAAGGCGATCCCATAGCGCCACCTCTGATTTGTTTGTAATATTTGGCATTGTATGCAAAATATTACAAACAAAACCATTCGAGACAATCGTAGAATTGTATCAATGGATAAATTACCAATTTTTCTATTGTTTGAATATTTATTCAAGAATCGAGCTAAAGCATCCAAAGCACCGTCTCTTGGTATCATGGTGTAAAGATCAGTAACATCAAAAATAATAAATAATGTTGTTGTTTGAAGACGACTATTATTTCTGTAGTTTTCAAGTTGACGAATTAAATCAGTTCCACTGATATATGTTGTTTTTCGAGCCATACGTAGATAAATTGGAGCCAATAGAGCGTTTAAGAATTTAGAAATATTTATAGCTGGTGATCCTTTAAACGACATGATCGGTCTTAATGGCACATTGATCCTGATAAAATTAAAATTAAAAAAAGGACAAGATAATTTTACAATAAATTGGAGCGTAAGAAAAATATATAAACTTGATAAGAAACTACGTACCTTATGTACTTTTGGTATGAAATAAAGATGTGGTAGTTCACAATTTCTTAGATTGGGTAACATGTTCTTCCATTGTTCATTGGTAATAGATTTTTTTTCTTTTAGATTATCCAATAAATTAGTAATTAAATGTCGAATATTACCAAGTGGATTGATGCCATTGGTGATCTCTTGATAGGCTCCCGTCTTTTTCATATAATCGATTGCTTTTTGTTCAAATTCTTTACTACTACAGATATAAAATATTTTGCTTTTATCTGTTCGTCGAATAATAGCATTAGCTTTCTTTAATTTTCGTTGAATACTAAGAACAAGTTGATTTTCATGTTTAGCACGAGCCATCAGTTTGTGTGACAACGGTGCCGAACGAAATTCATAGAGACGAGTTTTAATTAAATGAAAGAATTCTTTGGCATGTTCATCAGAAGCTGACGTATAATGATCACCGAGACAAGCCGTGGTTTTTGAACGTATAGTTTAAAATTCATTATCAACAATTTCGTCAAGAGATTTCTTAGAAAATCGACTTTGACAAGGAGTAATATATTGCGGTAAACGAGCGATTAACCTGAGTTCAGCTAATGTAAATGGAATGTCAATAGTAATAATTGGCCATGATGGAAGAATAGGAATAGTGTCATTGGTTTGATTATGAATGCTCCGACGACTCAATGGCCAGTTAGTTCGTCGATGATAACAGTCGTCGGAGCGTGATCGAAAAAAGATATTTTTTTTCGGATGTTCTTTTCAGCCCTATCTATCATGATTGTTAGACGTTCTTCAATGATTTTTAATAATGTTTGCCAAGATTGTTGATGTATATCATGATTTTCTAGTAACCACTTTTTCTTTTCATCATTAATTATTTGACTATGAGCTCGTACGAGATCTTCTGTTGCTTGAATGGTGAGGGTCATCATTTGATATTTGTATTGTGTGATGAGCTTTTGACGAGAAGAATTAAAATAAGCTCGTTTATCTTGTTGAAAACCAGGTTGTGCTAGAATTCGTTCAAGGTTATCAATTGAATGATCAAGTAAACCATAGGATGGTGATAGCCGTTGTGTCGATAGGCGTTGTTTCAATATTGATGCTTCTTCTTTTGCCTTTTGTTCGTCGATACAAGCTTGCCAAATCATTTTTGCAGAGCGAATCTAAATCGATAAAAAAAATTTTTGTTTTTATCCATATTTAAAGACTACATTATTTTTCAAGTAGAAACCTGTTCTTCTGTTGGATTCAATTTGTAGAATGATTGTACTAGACGAGCATCTTTCACATCTAATTTTAATGCTGCTTCTTTTTCTTGAAATTGATTACGTAATCGCTGTTGACCTTTGCGTACAAATGCAAGAATGGCCACAGATAAGATGTTCAGATTTATGTCAATGACAGCGCTTTCATTCAATGTTAGTAATACTGGTGGACGTTGTTGTAGATGTTCATTTAATTTGAATGTTACCACATGTAATTGTCTTTGGATTGACATACGTCGTTGATGTATATTCTTTTCTGTTTTACAATAAATCCAATTGATATTATTTTCTGTAATTATTGTTTTTGGTGCTACTGATAACCAATTGATTTCTGCCATTGCTGTACTGGTATAGAATTCCATAAAATTTTCTTCCATTTTTAAGTACGATATTTGATTTGTTAATGAAGCATATTTCCACGCGTATTGTAATATAGAATGATCTTCCAACCATTGACTGATTATTGTTTGATCACCTGTCACTTGGTTCAATAGATTTCGTTTGAAAACATCATCGGGTACAGTTAAATAATCTGGTAAATGTTTCCATGTTTTATCAGAATTGTTCTTCAGTGTATGGTTTTGTTTTTTTTCTACGTTCAAATGCTGTTGTTTAGAAGAACAGCATGTTTTTTTTGCTGTAGGTTGTGAAATCGATGCTTGACTAAATGATTTGACTAACATTGTATCTTCTGTTATGGTGATTGCTTTTGTTTCACGTTTACGTTTGTTGATATTCATCTGGTCTGTTTTGTTTTCGGTGATATCATCCTAATCAAAAAAAAATGAGTAATTCATAATGTATTCAGAGATGATTAATTTCAAATAATATACCGATGGAAATAGTGGTTCTATTTGACAGTCAATATCAAAAACTTCACCTTCTTCTTCATTTTCATGTCTTGATTGAGCAATGACATTATTTGTCAGCTGTGCTATTGTTACATCATCGAAAGCTCGTTTTCGAAGTTTAGCTCTGTAACGTTGTAATTGTCGATTTCCTCGACTTTTCTTTTTTCGTTTCTTTTCATGCTGCTGCTGGTGTTGTTGTTGTTGTTGTTGTTCTATCACCACTTGGTTTTCTAAAAGTACACTCGACTGATGGACATGAACATCAGGACAGACTGGAGATAATTCGTGTGATCTGTTTTCACTGTTGTGATTCATCAAAATAATCTATAAAATCAAAATCAAAGATGAATACATACAAGTACTGTACACGAATAGATATTTTCATTAATCGAAGAAGATAAAAAACGAAACACAAGGATCAGTTCGCAATGTAAATATCCTATCATTGATAATTAATTGATATTCTTTGGCAGACTGATGATGTCATCGAATTCCATATATGATTTGAATGTTTTCATCAAAATTTTATTGGTTTTCCTCATTCTACAAAGTTTGATAATGATTTTTATTTATTAACAACTTTATACAGAAGGTTCATGAATTATCAATCGTATGGTATAATCAAGATTAGTTCCTTCGGGAGCATTCCAATCCAAAGTAAACCAATATGGAGATTGATGATTCGGTCGAGTTAAGAAACGACGAATAATAGCATCGATTTGACTGACCATATTATCTTCATTAATAGTAGCTACATATGGTTGCATTTCAAGAGTCGGTGGTTGTGACGATGCTGTTGTTGTTTGTTGAGAATCTAATTGATTTAATGGTGGATTACTCATGTTGGATAGAAGCTCTTGTAGAAAAGGTATCAGATGACTGTTACTTCTAATTGATGAATTCAAAAATTAATCTACAGATAGAAAAAGAATGAACCGAGAGAACAAAATAATCATACTTAAGATATTTTCATAGAATTTATTTTAGAAAGCAAGTGATCTTTTTCCTCATCCTTGATACATATAAGCTTTAAACGATCATGGCCAATGATATTGAAATAGGAAATTATCTGTAAAAGGCTTCCTTAAAACAAAGACAACAATGACGATAAGAATAGAACTAGAAAACGTATTCTTACTTCATAAGAAATATTATATTCCTTGGTGGATAGTGACTTAATGTAAAAACATGCAAATTAATTGAAATTTGAAATTTGAAATCTAAAATCAAGAATTGTTCCATTCAAGTGAAAAGGTTTTATTCAAAAACAACGAAGAAAACTTTTACAAAAAACAAAATAAACATGTTCATAATACAATCGAAGATAACAAATGAAAATAAAGCCTTATTCTATATCTTAACCACTTTCTTTTATCCCATTCCAAATTTGGAAAATAACTGAAATAATGATCTATGAAGTCCTTGATCCTGCTCTGTCTGGTGGGATAGCCACTACAGACAGCCACAGTGATCTTACACACATCTATCTTATCCTATGAACATGATAATTATCTTATGGCTCAACTCAAACCTTAAACCCCAGGGAAAAAATGCAGAGAAGAGATGTAATCGCATAGCACTGAGATAATCATTGACTATCCCAATGGCTGGAGACTGTCAGCCACACTGGTAGCTTTCTCCTCATGGCACATCGATCATAATAAATCGAAGCTAGCGATTACGAAGAATTAAAGTAAAAAAAAGATATATGTGGATCTCAGACAACTCAAGTTTTTTAAGTTATTATTTTTCAATGAAATAACCCATCGTTTACATGTACATATAAGAAACCCAAAAAGATTGAAATGACCGAATGGTAAAAGGCTGAGAGGAAACCCTAACTAAAACATAGACAGACCTGTAATGTATCGTTTTTTTGTTGTACCATGCCATCGTAATTCATGTGAAGGGATAATAAGCCACGGTGATGTTGTCGTCGAAGTCGTCGTTGAAGAAATGATGATGTTACATGGGAAAGCACTGGTATATATACGCAGCCCTGTACAGGACACTCGAAAATTCAAAATTTTGAACCATTAGGACACTTGAGAGAAGTGTCCTCATACACCGGACATTCGAAAATTCAAAATTTTGAACCGTTAGAACACTCGAGAGAAGTGTCCTCATGTATTGGACACTCCACAGAAGTGTCTTCATGCATAGGACACTCCACAGAAGTGTCTTCATGCATAGGACACTCCACAGAAGTGTCTTCATGCATAGGACACTCCACAGAAGTGTCTTCATGCATAGGACACTCCACAGAAGTGTCTTCATGTATACGACACTCAGAAAAGGTGTCCAGCTACATAGGACACTCGGAAAAGGTGTCCAGCTACATAGGACGCTCGGAAATTCAAAATTTGAACCGTTAGGACACTCGACAGAAGTGTTCCCAAATAGCTAGGACACTCGACAGAAGTGTCTGTATACATAGGACACTCGTCAAAAGTGTCTGTATACATAGGACACTCGTCAAAAGTGTCTAGGCCGTTAGGACCCTTGAGATATATACGTGAAAAACTTAGAATTGGCGAGTCCCTGTAAATAAAGGTATAACAGGTAATAATGATAAAAAGTGAATTTTAGTTGGTATCGACTGTAAAGGAACAATGAGAAGGTAGGATGATTTTTCAATGACGTTTTACTTAGTCGTGATATACAAATGATCAATAGTTGTGACCGGATATCTTCAGATTTTTGATATATGGTATTGAAATGATATTAGTAGACGAAAAACACCATTGATTGTATGTTAAATATAGTTAACCGGTGACAGACAAATTAGTATTTATGTTTCTTTTCAGAAATGTTCGTTATCCGTTTAAGAAATCACATACGAAAGACTCTACAATATAAAAACAAAGAATCATCGTATAGATTGCAATGCAGCATCCATAGTTCAAAAATCAAATGAGTGATTTTCATGACAAAGATGTTCATTTCAAAAAATATATTCTCTGTCTCATACTTTCTTTATAGCTTTTGTGCGTGTGTGTCATCAAAACAATAGCGTAGTTGCTTGATAAACTGATCAGATTGATTATATTAATAAACGAATCATACCAGAATATCTCAAGATTCATAGGAGAATATATATTGTTTTATTGGAGTTAATTTAAAATGACAGATGCCTGACTGACTACTTGAATGCGATTTATTCTATCTCTGATTTTCATCCTTCATGAAATGAAGAACATAGATCATTTTTCTATAGAATTAGGCTAATAAACTTATTTGGATTCAATGAAAAACAATCTTTGAAGATAGATTCGAATCCGAATCGTTTTGTTTTTCGATCATCGTCACATATTGTTTCTCTGTGATCCATAGAAATGTCATGGTCAATACTATTGCTGAGCCTGTTTTTCATCCTGGTCATTGTGTTTAGAATTAATATATTGAAATGTTTAAAATGGAAATTTTCATGTTGATGAAGTTTATTTATAAATAAAAGAAAAAAACTAATTTATGGAAATTCAATCGATTTTTCATACAAATGAAATAACAAGAGTAGAGAAACTGAGCTGATATCAGCTGCTATTTCATTGACAGAAGAAAGAAAAAAACGAAAACAAAATATTTAGTCTACTATTTCAAACTTGTCCTTGATGATATAATTTCGATTGAGCCAATAGAACATTCAAAGAATGAACATGTTTTGTTGTTAGAATCACTTTCGATTTTTCTTCGGAAAGTCTTGAATGATTTTTAAAATAACTGGACCAAAGTTGATAGAATTCTTGATTGAATTGACATCTTGGACCTTGTTCATATAAATAATTTAAACGAATTAAATGACCATTATCATCGATTTGTTGAGTCATCTCTTGTGATTCATTTTTCATTGTAATAAAATCAAACCAATGTTGCCGAAATGTTTCATAGATCATTTGATCCATTAAATAACGCATGTTATATGCATGAAAATAATCGAAAAAATGTTCTACATGATGTTCAACAAATTCTAATGAATAACCATTGACAAGCACACACTAAGTAAAAATGTGNTTTTGAACTATGGATGCTGCATTGCAATCTATACGATGATTCTTTGTTTTTATATTGTAGAGTCTTTCGTATGTGATTTCTTAAACGGATAACGAACATTTCTGAAAAGAAACATAAATACTAATTTGTCTGTCACCGGTTAACTATATTTAACATACAATCAATGGTGTTTTTCGTCTACTAATATCATTTCAATACCATATATCAAAAATCTGAAGATATCCGGTCACAACTATTGATCATTTGTATATCACGACTAAGTAAAACGTCATTGAAAAATCATCCTACCTTCTCATTGTTCCTTTACAGTCGATACCAACTAAAATTCACTTTTTATCATTATTACCTGTTATACCTTTATTTACAGGGACTCGCCAATTCTAAGTTTTTCACGTATATATCTCAAGGGTCCTAACGGCCTAGACACTTTTGACGAGTGTCCTATGTATACAGACACTTTTGACGAGTGTCCTATGTATACAGACACTTTTGACGAGTGTCCTATGTATACAGACACTTCTGTCGAGTGTCCTATGTATACAGACACTTCTGTCGAGTGTCCTAGCTATTTGGGAACACTTCTGTCGAGTGTCCTAACGGTTCAAATTTTGAATTTCCGAGCGTCCTATGTAGCTGGACACCTTTTCCGAGTGTCCTATGTAGCTGGACACCTTTTCCGAGTGTCCTATGCATGAAGACACTTCTGTGGAGTGTCCTATGCATGAAGACACTTCTGTGGAGTGTCCTATGCATGAAGACACCTCTGTGGAGTGTCCAATACATGAGGACACTTCTCTCGAGTGTTCTAACGGTTCAAAATTTTGAATTTTCGAGTGTCCTGTACAGGGCTGCATATATACCAGTGCTTTCCCATGTAACATCATCATTTCTTCAACGACGACTTCGACGACAACATCACTGTGGCTTATTATCCCTTCACATAAACTATGATGGCATGGTACAACAACAAAACAATACATTACAGGTCTGTCTATGTTTTAGTTAGGGTTTTCTCTCAGCCTTTTACCTTTCGGTAGTTTCAATCTTTTTGAGTTTCTTCTATGTACATTTAAAAAAGGGCTTATTTCATTCAAAAATAATAAAGATTAAAAAGCTTGAGTTGTCTGAGATCCACATATTTCTTTTTTTTTTGCTTTAATTCTTCGTAATCGATAGCTTCGATTCATTATTATCGATGTGCCATGAGGAGAAAGCTACCAGTGTGGCTGACAGTCTCCAGTCATTGGGATAATCAATGATTATCTCAGTGCTATGCGATTACATCTCTTCTCTGCATTTTCCCCCTGGGCTGTAAGGTTTGAGTTGAGCCATAAGATAATCATCATGATGATAGAATAAGATTGATGCGTGTAAGGTCGCTGTGGCTGTTTGTAGTGGCTATCCCACCAGACAGAGCAGGATCAAGGACTTCATAGATCATTATTTCAGTTATTTTCCAAATTTGGAATGGGATAAAAGA